TCAGAGAAAAGATAATGTCTGAGTTATCGGGTTCGGCTGCCCTTTCTCTGATATGAGCAAGCCTATCTGGTTGTAGGCTTTCTTGTCTTGTCCTCAGCTCGGCTGGCAGACTGTTGCTGCTTGAGAACTCGTGCGCTAGTCTGTTTGCCTCTGCTCGAGGGTCGTAATGCGTGCACCTCGGAGCTGAGCGGCTGGTAGCTTGCCTGACCCGTTGCCATAGCTCTGAAAGGGTGGTTTGGTGGTCGAAGGACTCACACCATTTCTTTAAAGTACCAGGAGTACTTGTGACACCTTGACCCAGGCCGAGTTTTAGGTATGGTCAGTGAGATTGCTTGGTTAATGGCATCTGTAATTCTGGCTTTAAGCACTTCCACATTTTCGGTTTGTGTGGGTTCACTGCGTCTCAGACAGTGGTCCAAGGCGTTCTGGAACGCCTGCCAGTTGGCCTTGTCTGTTTTCCATCTTGGATTTGGTCGTGGGATTTCGGCTGAGCCAGGATCCATGAGGGTAGTTACAGTACCGTAATGGTCATTTATAAGTCTCATCCACACAACAGCTAATCCTCTCCACCAGAGTAGCAGTGATCAGCATGTGGTCTACGACCCCTCCTCTGACATGCGTTGGCTCTTGAGTATTGAAGAGAGCGATCTCAGGGAACATCTCGAGCACGTTGGCTATGTGATGGCCAGCTGCATCCAGTACCCGGCAGGGAGCCAGGATGGGGTGGTGTGCGTTGAAGTCTCCCCCTATGATCACTCAGTCGTGTGCAGCAGAAGTACAGACCTGGCTGATATCTAAGCCACTACAGCCTGGCCGGTTGTACACATTGTACAGTTTGAGGGGCCCCCTGACCAGGTGAATCTCGACGGCTAGAGATCATTTCCTACGTAGACGATCTTGCTATCACCTCCATTGGGGCACACTGCCTGAATAAAGATCAGCGTTGTCTGGACCTTGTGTCTGAGGAGTGTTGTAGGACAGGACTAAAGATCTCTACAGTCAAATCCAAAGCCATGGCTCTGAGACTTAAAGTTCATGGCACAAGTCTGAAAATCCAGGGAGTAGACTTGGAATGGGTCCCGGACTACTTGGGGTAAAGATAGACTGGACCCTCTCCTTCAAAAAGGAGGTCGAGTACCTGGTTGACCGAACCAAAGCAAGACTGTCTGTCATGAGAGCAATGTCTGGGAGACGCATAGGAGCCAGACACAAAGTACTAAGATCGTTCTATGTATATGCTGTCCTACCCATTGTGGACTATGCCTCAGTCGCTCTAATTGGCATAAAGAAAAAGTACAGAGAAAAAATGGAGACAGTCCAAAATGAAGCTTCCAGAATCATTCTGGCTGCCCCAAGGTGGATGAAGGTCCCCAACCTCCTGATGGAGGCCAACCTTTACCCCCTGGAATCACGAGTCGATCTAATGGCAACGCATTTCCTATCAAAGGTCATCCAGTCTCCCAGGAACACAAGCCTAAGACCAAAACTAGTCAGACGCCTAGAACCAGACAACGAGCTCTTTGCAGACAACTCCTGGCTGTCTCATACAGCCAGAGTGTTGATAGGCTATGAGCTCAAAGAACAGCTTCTCGCTAAGGTCATGGACTCCCCCCACCCGGACTTTATCAAAGCCCCGCCGTGGGCACAAACCTCGATAGAGTTCTCAATAATGAGACTACTATTGAAAAAGAGCGAATACCCGACGCCTGGCCTAAAGGCAGAAACCCACAGGGTCATTGCAGTAGTAGAACATACTACACGGATGGATCGGTCGATCCCTTGAGCCACACTGCAGGCACCGGCTTTGCAGCAAGGGATGCCATGCAATCTATGAGGGTAACAGACAACACCTCCTCGCTACAGGCAGAGGCAGTTGCGATCATGGGAGCCCTATCTCACGCGTCCCTAAGGGAAGGACACGTGGTCATACATACTGACTCCAGGGCAGCCATTGACTGTCTTCAGCACAGCTCACCCAAAGACAACATCTACTTCCTGACCACAATAATTACCATAGCCCAAAGAATTTTTGCTCTGGATAGAAGAATAATCATTAACTAGGTCCCTAGCCACATTGGCATCAGAGGGAACGAGCTTGCTGACAGACTTGCCGTCACTGGCAGGGGTATGCCCCCTAATCCCATGATCATAAGACCAAGCCGAAAATTACTTCGGGAGAAGTGTACTGATGTCGCCAAATCCTTCCTCCTGCAGCTCGGCCAGCTGGTACTCAGACGCCACAGGCTATGAACCAGTGGCACTCTCTGAAATAAACAGCAGAGGTACCGAAGTCATTCTTCACAGAATGCGCCTAGGATAATTGAGTCCATAGACCGTAAAGAGAGTTGTTGCATGCATTGCGGCGAGAGCCGAACGCCACACGTGTACATTACTTTGAGAATTGTGAGCAAACACAATTCCTGAGACAGGGACCGCCTACAACAGCCGCCATGCTGGTAAAGAGACTTTGCGATTCGCTTACACCATGGCAGCAGGAGCGCCTGCTGGCAATCCCACCGCCAGAGGATGCACCGAGTGTAAGAGAACAAAATGAGACAGCCATAAAAAGCTGACACAGGCCGGGCCATAGCCAGGAGGCCCGGGCGAAGCCAGAACTTCGCAAATCGCAATAGTAATATAGAGCGAGCGAGCGAGAAAGAAAGAGAGGTAAGGAAAGAGGAAAGAGAGAGAGAGAGAGAGAGAGGTGGGGAAGGGAGGGGGCGAGAAAGAGAGAAAGACAGAGAGTGAGAGAAAGAGAGAGAAGGAGAGAGATAAAGATAGAGAGGGGAGGGGAGATAGAGAGAGGAGAGAGAGGGGTGAGAAAGAGAAAGAGAGAGAGCGAGCGAGAGAGAGAATGGAGGGGGGGAAGAGGAAAGAGGGAGGTGGGGAAAGAGGAAAAAGAGAAGGGAGGTGGGGAAAGAGGAGAGCGAGAGAGGGGGGGGGGGGAAGGGAGGTGGGGAAAGAGGAAAGAGAGAGAGAAAGAGAGAGGCGAGAGAGGGGAGAGATATATAGATAGAAAGATAGATAGATAGAGAGAGGGGGGGGATAGAGAGAGAAGAGAGAGGAGAGAGAAGTAGTGAGAAAGGGGTGAGAAAGAGAGAGAGAGAGAGATGAAGAAGGGGGGGG